TTTTTTTTTGTATAACTATATATCCTTCCTTTCCGTTCTAGGCTTTCAATCTTGTAATTTCGCTACTACAGGTGATCCGGTAACCAGTTGAGTCCCCCTAGGTTATCGATCGCCCGGTGTCTCACTTTTGCATAGATCCTGGGTTTCGTATTTCCCAAGATTGTGTCCAAGCCATGTCCTTCCGGACATCGCGTCTAGTTATATAATCCACAAACCTGCAACTTTGAGGCTTAAGTGGGAATTCCATACGGCACTACCAGTCCCGCCTTTTCGCAGTATGATAATTAAGCTCTTCGCGAGTATCCTAAAAGTTATTTATATTGGTGATCGTATACTCTCTGAGATCATGGAATATGGACAATATCGTGACCCTCGTCGTCGGACACGTGTCTATGGCATTATACGAGGGGAAAGATATGGCATAGATAAGACTACGTGCAGGATCGGCGCAAGCATGGATTCGCATAAAGTATCACCTGTCCTGGAAGAAAATGGGTCGGAAGCGACCGTCTCAGCGCTATCCGACGCCCAGAACCGAGGTACCCCCAATAATGAGCTGTGGGAGCGGTTTAAATTTCGCTACACCACTAAAATGGGAAAACGAGAAGTTCACGCGGCGGAGGACACGCTCCGACAGCAGGCCGTTCTTGTGTTGGAAATTGACAACGAACAGTTAATGTCCTGCTCAGAAACACAGGACGATAATTTCGTGCAGTGCATAGAGATTCTGAAGTCATCAGGACGTCAGTACGCCATCTTTGCGTACTACGACATTACATTGCGAGAAGTTTTCGCGTTTCCTGGACCGTTGCGCGACCTTCGTATTAGTGAAAAGGTAGGCAAAATATTTTCTCAACCTCCGTTGATCTGGATAGGGTTTTCCAACTGACTGGAAAAGGTGCGACTTTTGTTGGAAAATGAGAAAGTCCAGCAGCTGGGGCTGTCGAACCCTGACTATATTTGGTTAGACTACCACGGGAATGTCAAGCTAGGTCGGCCCCCCTTCTCAGTTCGCTGCCATCTCGTTAGCTAATCCTACACATTTATAAAGCACACCCTGTGTTCTGGGCCGCAGCTACGGACGAACAACATAAGGGCGACAATGGCCATCACGCTGTGGTGGAGATCCAGAATAGGCTAAGCTGTAAGGAGGACGCCTCTTATGTGGTGAGTAGTCGCCAGGGGAGAAAGGGAGAGAGGAGAGGGGGTGATAGCTTTCCGTGGCAAAAAAGAGTCCCTGACGACAACAGCCTAGCACCAACTTCGACAGGAACCTTTTTTGGATTGTGGTAATGACGACCAGGACTGCTTTGGTCGAGCTGGATTTCCGACATCCTGCCGAACAATAGTTGAAGCTGAGAGCTTGGGCTGTGGCGAGACGAGGACGGGCGACCGCGCGCAATCGGTTTCATCATCACTTATCACTCAACTAAACCATAAACGCAATAGTGAATTCGACGGCAAACATATAAACACTGTGAAAGCACCGGATATAGTGAATAATGCGACACTATCATATGGAGCACCACTCTTCCTTCGGCGACATTAACGGACCCTTAGCCTTCGAGCCACCACTTCCCCCGCCACCTGATCCCACAGTCATTGGCAGCAGAAGGAAGAACATGATAAATAAAAAGAAAACAGGATCCAGCGACCACGTCACTGGAGCGCGACGGGGGTATTACCCACCAAGGGCCGCATTAGACGAGCATTGCTGACCACAGAAACTCTAAACGTCATGACCCTCCCTAAATCTCGAGAGAGGAAGGAGACATAAACCGCGTTTTCCTCCACACATCATGCACGCAGTCCGGTTGAATGGTATCGCTTAACAAAAACGCCACCCGGACGTCCTAGATTTTTAGTTCCGGGTTCACCCTGTCTCCTTTTTCCTTTTCCTAGCATTGTACGGAAGATGGTATAGGAAATCGATCACCCTATTTCTATTCTTTGGAGGGAAATAAGGTGGAGCGTGATTACTACAAAATTTCGATTGCACTTATAGGTTAGAATAACGTGTCTCACTCCTGTGCCGAAATTGAAAACGCGCCTGACCAATAAGAACTAAGGCGGTGACTATGATAGCGGGCCCGTTGGTCGTTTTTCTAGCTCTCCTCTCTGCCACCACTCAATCTGTATCCTGATTTTCCTTCCAATCATCTTCATCTCTATAGTTCTTTTTTCTTCTTCTTAAGTCTCAACGAGGCATATTCAAGGTGGTGCGATTGGCCAAGCCTCCACTAGTCACGGTTTCATTGTGTGAGAAAGTGTCCAAAATCATTCAAATTTTACTTTCCGCTTCCTGATCGGTTTCTGCTGACACCTTATTCGAGAAAATCGTTTTAGGCTCTCGACTATTTCGAGTCTAGCACCAACGGGGTTGAACTTCTTTGGAAGTAGGAAATAATTTGCTGAAATAAAAGATCGAAGTTTTGTGGAGAGACTATGTACATAGCCCCTGGGGAATATTAAAAGCCTTGCGAGACCTGTGGGAAAAGATTCTTTCGACGTTGTTTTGGAAAACTTCGTGTAGCGGTTGTGCTTGTCGGCGCAATTACGCCGTCGTCCTCTCTCATTTCATTTTCTCTTAGTTCCTTCCTTTCCGTTTGGTTCTTCGTCGTTCTTTGACTGAATATCTCGTGGGCTGGTACCATGAGTTCTATTGATTCTCTTTTCTCCCAGGGTGACGAAACTTTCCAGCGGCGGTTGCTCGCCGTCTGCAAGAAGACAGACTTGGTTCTACGGAACCATAATACTCGCGTGAAAATCATTTTTGAACGTGATGGGGAACAGTGGCTCTTCACGTCCGATTCCAAAGAGCAGGCGGACAAATATGTAAGCTTCCCTTACAGAATACCGTTGCGTATTTTCGGTCCGATTCCGGAAAGAGGGTCAAAGATATTATGGCGCTGATAAGTTTCTGGCATTATCAACGTCATATAGTTCAAATCCCCTCGAAAAGTGCACCGCCTAGACAGAGAAGATCTTCGGCGTTCGAAGAGAAAGCCATCTGCGTCCGATCCGCCGCGTAAGACGCAAGACAACGCCGTCGATTGTACGTTACCCAGCGGTTTGACGCAAGCATGGGCGAGCTTCAGCTGGGCCACTTGGGGTGAGGGGATGGAAAATCTAGATTGCACGTCGGAATTGTCTTTCGGTGATGCGGACGCTCGCTCATTCCTCACGGCGAACGATCCGCCTACTGAGAGGACGAAGGGGTGCCGATTGTGAAATTGAGGTGCCACCAGGTGGCAGGTATAGCATTGGATACCCATCTAATGTCGACGTTTTCTTCTGAACAGCCCACGGTCCAAGAGAACTTTCTCCGTCATACGGGCAGCTGTACGACCACATCCAGATCTAATTACTCATTGGAGAAAGCCGGTTCCTCCGACGAAGACTAAAAACTGCCTGAACGTCCAGAAGCGCTCTCAATCGTCCTTGTCCATGAGGGGAAAAGAAAGAAATGAGTCAGAGACTTCATGTGCTGACTACAGAAATTCGAAGAACACTATTCTTTTAATATCATCATCACCCATGTCTCACGATCGCCTAAAACCCTAACAGTATTGACCTCCCTCCTAGGCACTCCATCAAGCTTTCACCGGTTTCGGACAACGCATGGTAGAAGTACGTGCCTGCTTTAGCCATAGGCAATGGCGCAACAAGTCTCATGATAGGCCTTTGCGCTCAGCGTGGTTTCTTCATTGTGGCCTTCTCAACGCTCATCACCGCACCACACCTACCGTATATCCGCACCGCTTCTTACTTCCAAAACCCGACCAAACGGACAGAATCAGCGATGGATGATGGAGTCGAAAACTCACGACCACGAGAACTCCTGCCACTCAATCGAGATGATAAGCTTTTGGGGAAATACGAGGAAATGTACTCTCTTTCCCTGGGAACGTGTTTTTCTCCAGTACAAAGTTGACACGTCGTCGCCTACCGAATGCCTTTACCCTTCCTGATCCCGAGAGCGGCCGAACTACGAAAGGGATGTACATCAAAGCCGATAAATGTGGAGTATGTTGTCGTCTTTGACTCCTGCTGGCTCTATGCAGCTAATGGAAGAATACTAGCACCTGTAATCAGATAATATTTGTCGTAGGTGATCAAGGAGACAAGAGATTGGACAGTGGTTACAGATAGGAACATACATAGTTATGTTTTGAGGTAAAGGATACGATCCTACGGCCCTTCCGAGAACCCGGGGATCCAACTCTACTAGGCCTAGCGCATTCGCCAACACTAGGCTCTGGCAGGGATGCCGGAGGTGTCCTGACTTATATCGAATGGATGGAGATTCTGTCCGCAGCCTTCTACGTCTCTATAAATGTGTATAGGATCTCAATTACTTTTTACAACCTTAGGCTCTTGGAAGATGTCCCAAAAGTACAATAGAATGCGCTTTCAAAAAGTGTAGCGTTCTAGCTTCTACTGATTAGACTTAACCTCACACTTCCCGCGGCTCTTCTCGACCCTAGAAGTGGACCAGTATAGAAAGATATTAAATATACCAACTTTTGAACCGATTAAAAAGGGTGCAGATAATAAGCCTGCCATGGCTTCTGTCACCGAAGACGTACGTGGGGTAACCCGCCAGAATGCGTCTTTCCGAATAAAATACCCTAAGCTAAGACAAAATTTTACTACATATGGGCGCGAAGGAGCGAGAAGCCCACAATTGGTACAAGTTCAGACACGCCGGGGGAATATTCTTATTTCTAATCGTTCTTTCAGTCCTGATTTGTGGTTTTCATCCCTTCTTTTGGCTTTCTCCTCTTTTTGTGGTTGGACTTCCTCCTGGCACAGGATGGTTTAAGTGGAATTGAGAGACCGTGAAAGCGACGAGATAGACTCCCTATAGAACTAGACCGAAAAAAGGACGCGACAATTTTACTAAATTCTGCCGGAGGATTCATCTAATATCTCCAAAATACAATGATGTGGATGAGAAAGCCCACGCCATATACCCAGGATCTAAACTCTTAGGAGCCGAACGAACTGTTTCTTGTTTTGCAAACTGTGTAGTGCACAAAAATGTGGTAGATTATGGGTTAAAAATCCAAAATACACTACTTATAGCTCCGGATTCTGGGGGATAACGAAATACGTGGCACCTTTAGGCCCATTAAGGCCATATAAAGAAAGACCCACGGGGAGTGTGAGAAGTGAAAGGAAGACACCTGTTCTCCTTGTCAGCAATCCTTCGTCTCTTCTTCCTGAAAATTAGAAACCTTTTCGATCCGCAAACCTCCATATGCCACCGTGCCGGCACCGTGGCTGGCTTGAGGTCGCCGACGGCCACGACACTCTCGCGTCCAATGGCCACGGCTTTACCCTCCATGTTTCCGACCGGCTCGATCGCTTGGTGGAGGGACTCCCTTATCCGCCGGAACAGCGGCCGAGTCTCGTCTTGATGCTAGGTGCCATCCGAAGGGACAAGGCACTACGGGCTCTCCAAGGTTCAAGAGGAGAGTGTGTTCGTGATTTCAGCCACCACGCGGATGTAGAATTAGTACTCGACTCACGCACTAGATCCTCTCAGCGGCCCATATTATTCGCTAGTGGACACCAGACTAAAGGCCTGAGTTCGTCTGAGGCAGGGACCGTGGCCAGATGTCACCGCACCTTAGATTTGGATATGGCCGACGCCCACGGGACGTCGTGGTCCCAGGCGGGGAAGTGGCCGGCTGACCTTCTGAGCGCTCGACTTGTCGCGCCGTTGGCCGACGTCGTGTGTGTTTTCCTGTCAGACTTCTCAAGTCTAGAGAAGGCGTCAGAGCGACTCGAGGCATGGATTCGACTAGGAGCACCTTCGTCGCTTCCCGATTCCGTTCGACCCTATCTGATCCTAGTAGAAGACGAGGTACCGACACGCCGGCGACGTGCGGACGTGGTGCGCGAACGGCTATCACGGTGGTGCCAGGGCTCGATCGCCAGTGTTTTCTCAGGGCAGATCACGGTTGAGCTGCCGAAGCACTGTTCTTCCAGGCGATCCCGTGAGTATGCCCCACTTAGGAAGGCCATTCAGGACCAGGTGCAACAGTCGGAGCGCGCTCGACAGGAAACCGGAACTCTCTTTTCCGCCCGTCATATGGCCGCGTTCTTTAACCGCCAACTCGGTCACTTCCGCAGTGCCCGTCTCGAACCCTTCAACTTCCTTCACGCGACGCGCCTCCACGATCCTGTCCCGGGTCAGCTAAGTGACTCATTGGCAGATTTCATAAAAGACTTCCGGACTCGCGGCAGTCTATCGTGCCTGGCGGTGCCTCTCGTGGCGGCGTGCCTTTTCCTCAATCACTACTGCACCACAAGGTCTCGTAGGTACTTTCCCGGTCCCCGGGCCGAGATATCGCCGGTGGGTTCGAAGTACTGACGGTGGGCCACAGTTTTTCAGCCGGCGGACGTCTTTGCCGCGTTCTATGCGGGCCCCTGCCTCGCCGCCTTCGAGCGCACTGCGCCTGGTCGAGGCGAGGGCAGTCTCTCCCCTCAAACTTTAAGATACCTGACAGAGGAGAAGTTTAGGGCTCTATTCGAGACCTGGCAGGCGGGCTCAGCCGGTGTGAGGGAGCTACATCGGCGATGCCTGCGACGCCTCAAAGGGCACTGGCAGAAATACCGCACCGAACTGGCCTGCCGTCGCTGTCTCGTCGCGTGGGCCCCAGAATATCGGTTGACATGTGGTCATCGATTATGCGAGGCTTGCGTGCGAGCGGAAGGCACGAATTCGAAGACCGATCCATGCACGTATCGCATCGCAACTTGTCCTTTATGTGGCAGCGACACCGGGGAAGCGGTGATCTACGTGAAACCGACCTTAAGCGGCCACCGCATCTTGAGTATCGATGGTGGAGGCTGCCGGGGCATCATTCCTCTCACATTCTTAGGGGAGTTAGAACAACGTCTCGGCATTCCCGGAATCGCACATCGAGCATTTGATATTGTCTTCGGGACGAGCTCGGGTCAGTGCGGCAGCTCACTTCCGATCGCCAGAAGAAATCGTGTTTGACTGACGGAGAAATAGGTGGAATTGACTGTGTCGGTGTCTTTCACCAAGGATGGTCGATTCGACACTGTCAGACCCTATTCCAGAGTGTCGCCCGTAACATCTTCGTCCGCCAGGTAACACGCCGTCCTCGGGTGATGCCGAACGTCCAACAAGCGGTGGTGAACTTCCTCCGGGAGACCCTATATCCCGCTGAAGTCATCAATCGCGCCTTACAGTCCGCATTTGGTCTCGCGACCCTCCTTGATGATCCGACTTCCTTCGCCGCCCGGTACGGTATTAAACTAGGCCTGACCGCCGCCACAGTCGGCGGACCTATGCAGAAAATTCTATTTACCAATTACAATGGCTTTGGCCATCGACTCAAGGAATGCGGTACGGATCGCCTCCTTTCATAACCACCCCCCCCC